ATGAAGAAACACCCTTGACAAGAAAGAGTAACCCTGAAGAAGACGATTTTGAATGGGACCTAGAGGAACACATAAAACTGATTACTGAACGGTTACACCATGTGCATATGATCGCCAAACAAAATATAAATAAAGCACAAACAGATCAGAAGGAAGATATGATAAGAAAATAAAACCCATACAATTCAAGATAGGAGAACAAGTATTATTACGAGAAAGTCACCATGAAATTAAGTTCTTGTCAAAAAAAGTATTGGCTGAAAAGCCAGGACCCAGAAGACAAATATTGTGTGAATTTCTAATAGAAGAAATAAATCAAGCACTGGGTGCGCCAGAAGACATTGAACCATCTTTTACTTGTACAACAACACCAATAGCAGATCAACAAACAGGGATAGAGAAAAATGAAATTACCATGAGAACAGTAACTACCACTGCGTTGGAAAATCCTGAAGAAGGAAGTTCAAGTAGTGTTGCCAGACAAACAACTTTAATTGTCAATCGTGTTCACATTGATCAAAGCTACTCAGCAATTGAGGAATTCCAACCAATAACATTTATTGATTATAAAAACCAGTCATTGCCGTGCAGATGTGACAAGAAAGTATTACAACAAAAGGCCAAGGAGCATTTCAACTGGACAATGGCAACAAGGCAAATGAATTATCATTGTTGCAAGTGTAAAAGACCTACAACAAAAAGGGATACAAATGACGGTTGGAAATGGGGATATCACCAATTGTGCAATTCTTGCACCAAAAATGGATCTTATGATATCACTCAGGAATCATGGTATAATTCACCATGCAAAGTTTGCAATTCACCTATGACCACAAAAGTCAACATCAGTTGGCAAGATGATGTTTGCTCTTACATCTGCAAATATGCATACTTATCAGTAGTAATGGCAAATAACTTCCAACATGTGCCACAAAAGGTCAAGAATTATATTGAAACAAAGAATTGCTCAGAAGATGAAGGAGATGTCCTAAAGGCTGCAGAAGCCTATTACATCAAACTTCATGGTCAACCAGCAGAAATTGAATATCACCAGCAAT